AATGTCCGTCCATACTGTATACAAGTGTCTGCCCCTCACTGTCCGTCCATACTGTTTACAAGTGTCTGCCCCTCACTGTCCGTCCATACTGTATACAAGTGTCTGCTCCTCACTGTCCGTCCATACTGTATACAAGTGTCTGCTCCTCACTGTCCGTCCATACTGTATACAAGTGTCTCCTCCTCACTGTCCGTCCATACTGTATACAAGTGTCTGCCCCTCACTGTCCGTCCATACTGTTTACAAGTGTCTGCCCCTCAATGTCCGTCCATACTGTATACAAGTGTCTGCCCCTCACTGTCCGTCCATACTGTTTACAAGTCTCCTCACTGTATACAAGTGTCGGCTCCTCACTGTTTGTCCATACTGTATACAAGTGTCTGCTCCTCACTGTCCGTCCATACTGTATACAAGTGTCTGCCCCTCACTGTCCGTCCATACTGTTTACAAGTGTCTGCCCCTCACTGTCCGTCCATAATGTTTACAAGTGTCTGCCCCTCACTGTCCGTCCATACTGTTTACAAGTGTCTGCCCCTCACTGTCCGTCCATACTGTTTACAAGTCTCCTCACTGTATACAAGTGTTTGCTCCTCATTGTCCGTCCATACTGTATACAAGTGTCTGCCCCTCACTGTCCGTCCATACTGTTTACAAGTGTCTGCCCCTCACTGTCCGTCCATACTGTTTACAAGTCTCCTCACTGTATACAAGTGTCGGCTCCTCACTGTTTGTCCATACTGTATAGAAGTGTCTGCCCCTCACTGTCCGTCCATACTGTTTACAAGTGTCTGCCCCTCACTGTCCGTCCATACTGTTTACAAGTGTCTGCCCCTCACTGTCCGTCCATAATGTTTACAAGTGTCTGCCCCTCACTGTCCGTCCATACTGTATACAAGTGTCTGCCCCTCACTGCCCGTCCATACTGTTTACAAGTCTCCTCACTGTATACAAGTGTCTGCCCCTCACTGTCCGTCCATACTGTTTACAAGTCTCCTCACTGTATACAAGTGTCTGCTCCTCACTGTCCGTCCATACTGGATACAAGTGTCTGCCCCTCACTGTCCGTCCATACTGTATACAAGTGTCTGCCCCACACTGTCCGTCCATACTGTATACAAGTGTCTGCCCCTCACTGTCCGTCCATACTGTTTACAAGTGTCTGCCCCTCACTGTCCGTCCATACTGTTTACAAATGTCTGCCCCTCACTGTCCGTCCATACTGTTTACAAGTGTCTGCCCCTCACTGTCCGTCCATACTGTATACAAGTGTCTGCCCCTCACTGTTCGTCCATACTGTATACAAGTGTCTGCCCCTCACTGTCCGTCCATACTGTTTACAAGTCTCCTCACTGTATACAAGTGTCTGCCCCTCACTGTCCGTCCATACTGTATACAAGTGTCTGCCCCTCACTGTCCGTCCATACTGTATACAAGTGTTTGCCCCTCACTGTCCGTCCATACTGTATACAAGTGTCTGCCCCTCACTGTCCGTCCATACTGTTTACAAGTCTCCTCACTGTATACAAGTGTCTGCTCCTCACTGTCCGTCCATAGTGGATACAAGTGTCTGCTCCTCACTGTCCGTCCATACTGTATACAAGTGTCTGCTCCTCACTGTCCGTCCATACTGTATACAAGTGTCTCCTCCTTACTGTCCGTCCATACTGTATACAAGTGTCTGCTCCTCACTGTCCGTCCATACTGTATACAAGTGTCTGCTCCTCACTGTCCGTCCATACTGTATACCAGTGAGGGGCAGACACTTGTATACAGTATGGACGGACAGTGAGGAGGAGACAATTGTATACAGTATGGACGAACAGTGAGGGACAGACCCTTGTATACAGTATGGACAAACAGTGAGGGACAGACTCTTGTATACAGTATGCCTGGACAGTGAGGAGCAGACCCTTGTATACAGTATGGACGGACAGTGAGGGGCAGACACTTGTAAACAGTATGGACGGACAGTGAGGAGCAGACTCTTGTAAACAGTATGGACGGACAGTGAGGAGCAGACACTTGTATACAGTATGGACGGACAGTGAGGGGCGGACACTTGTAAACAGTATGGACGGACAGTGAGGGGCAGACACTTGTATACAGTATGGACGGACAGTGAGGGGCGGACACTTGTAAACAGTATGGACGGACAGTGAGGAGCAGACACTTGTATACTGTATGGACGGACAGTGAGGAGCAGACACTTGTATACAGTATGGACGGACAGTGAGGAGCAGACACTTGTATACAGTATGCACGGACAGTGAGGAGCAGACACTTGTATACAGTATGGACGGACAGTGAGGGGCAGACACTTGTAAACAGTATGGACGGACAGTGAGGAGCAGACACTTGTATACAGTATGGACGGACAGTGAGGGGCAGACACTTGTATACAGTATGGACGGACAGTGAGGAGCCGACACTTGTATACAGTGAGGAGACTTGTAAACAGTATGGACGGACAGTGAGGGGCAGACACTTGTATACAGTATCATTCAATGTTTAAAATAATCCGTGACTGACTACCATCGTACAACAATGACAAAGAACCAAGCAAACGGATCAGATTACATGCTAAGGCAATATATTTAGCACATATTTTTTGCGTTGATACATTCACATATTCAGTCCATGGTCTTACATATTTGAAACCCTTGTATCTGTTCAGGAAAGAATTCTCTTATAAAAGTGTATCCACAAAACATGAAGGATGAACTCAACTATATTTTTAGGACGTCTTTAGCAAAGAAGACTTAAAGTTGAGCATCTTCTGACTGCACAATATCAATAAGCCCTGAAATTAATAAGTATAGTATAGTATTGAGTTCTCATTTAAAACTTTATATAAAAGATTTTAAAAAGAAAAAAATAACATGTACATGTATTTGCATTGGGAATGATTATCCGATATGTTTGTGTGTCAGTTTGATTGGATATTTGTTTATTGTCGATCATTAAGGATCAGAGGCAGATCCAGATTTTTCAAACGAACTGTTTTTACCCTCGCGGAAAGGGGCGGAAAGGGGATACTGTTTACTGGTTGTGGATTTCAAAAGGAGGGTGTGTGTTTAAACCTGTGAATTCCGCCTCTGGATCCACCACATGATGATTATTCATATTCTATGTCTGAATCTAGAATACGTTATCGTATGACAAAATGCTGTTTTAAGTTAAACAAATGTGAATGTGGTGTACATTAGAAACATTATAATGTGACAGGCATTTTTGAGTGTAATATTATCAGTTTTATTTAATTTATTTGTTGTTAAATTTGTCTATGTTTATTTCATTCTAGGTTTGTGTCTCTAATAAATGGTAGTCCATGATATAATTATGGATATTTTGGACAAGACAAGTAGAGTGTATGGTGTTAGCTAAATGCCAACTTAATGCTCCGGGACTATAAAACTATTTCAAGCACATTCTTTAGCCTTCACAACTGCAAACATGGCGGTTATCAACGCGATGCCATCTACAACAAATATAAAAAATGACAGTGCCCCTTGTAACATGCACAAAATAGAAGGGCTAGTCCAACCGGAGCTATCTCCCCTTAGTGCTATCTCCCCTAAAATGTTTGCAGAGTACTTATCTCCCCTTAACCAGGTTTAAAAACAAATAATGGCATTATTTTCTTGTTATTTTTTATATTTGTTATTAAATTTGTCTATGTTTATTTCATTATAGGTTTGTCTCTAATATATGGTAGTCCATGATATAATGATGTTTTTGAACAAGACAAGTAGAGTGTATGTTGTAAGATAAATTCAAGCCACTAATATCCCTCTATCTTTCAATGAAGTACACTTTATTTAAGCGGCAGTTTTAACTAAAACTTCCATCCCCGGACAATACAATTAATACAAAACATTCATTTGTATAGAACACGCATTTAGCTTAAGCCCTATGCTGATTGTTTGGCATAAAGACAACACAATGAACAATGTTTTGACAACGGTAAGCGTCAATCTACACCTGGCACATTTTACATAAGAGTAACTGTCTTACGATTTTGTTTTATAAGTTAAACATCCATTTTATTGAGACAAGTCAGGGTTACGTTTAATACAATATGTTGACATCTCATTGATCTACCTCGCTTTCCCGGCTTCTGTCAAGACTCTTCGGCCATCCGTCTCCAAAGGTGTTGTGTTTAAATAAAACACGCACTAATTTGGACTTCTGCAACATATTGTGAAGCAAATTTGATGTTTTATTGCTTTTGTCAGATATTGGCAATTCGGTGTTGAACACGTGACAATTAAGATGGCCAAGTTCGCCAATGAAGCGGACAGTTTTGATGCAGCTGTTATGTCACTACAAACTGTAACCGGTACTTGTGAGCCGTCTATAGAAATGAAAATACTGTCTTGAATTCTAATCTTGAACAATCAACAAGTTCAGTCATGTCCGAAGCCGCCCAAGACATACCCGTGGGTATAGCGGCAAGTAACTCCGATATTCCAGCTGCAATTAACCAATTGAGCATCACATTTCCAAGACAGTTGTTAGAAAAAGAAAACAGGGCCGTCCGAAAACGCGTAGCTGCCCTTAAAGAAGAAACCGAGGCTTTGAAACAAGTAGCACTCCTAGTTGATGAAATTAAACAAATTGAAAACGAACAATGCTATAAATGCAGAAAAAAGCTAATTTGAACAGTGCTGACTGAAAGATAAAGTCGCTTGCGACCAAATTCTCGGATGTGGTCAAGAGGTCAAATTCAGTGTCAGAACATCAATGCTCAGTTGTAAGAAGAAATCTACCATAGGATCTGAGTGAAACAGTCTTGTAGATTCATATCTTAACAATCGGTAAGCGCCATACAGCTACAACTAGGGTTACCTCCCTTGCGCAACATATGGCCAACCACCGGAAGCCGCGCTCTTTTATGAAAACACATGGACCCAAGTGAAGACGGTTTATTAGAAGTTCACTCTTTTTGTTGATTCACTTGATTCACTTGACACAGCAACTTACATGGTGTCAGAAGCGGGATGGCTGACGCATTTAACAAACCTGCACCCTTATCCTTTGAAGAAGACATCGCAGACAACTGGTGGCAATTTGAACTCGAGTTTTGCATATTCGTGGAAGCAGCACACGCTGACAAGAATGCCTTGGGCATGGTGAAACTTGACATCCATGATGTGAAAGCTGAAACAAGAATGACCAAACAGGATATAATTGACATATACCCTAAATTGTTTGATGGTAAACTTGGAAACTTGCCTGTGTCGTATGATGCGCAATTTGATCCTGATGTATCTCCGGTAGTCAGAACTCCACGTCGAGTTCCTGCACCTACAAGAGAAAAGATAAGAGCAGAATTAAACAAAATGATTGAAGAAGGAGTGATAGCTCCAATAAACGAACCAACTGATTGGGTGTCTGCAATGGTAGTGGCAAAGAAAAAGGGTTCGGACAGTGTGCGGATATGTATTGACCCCAAAGATCTCAACCGTGCATTGATGAGACAACATTATCCAATAAAAATGATTGAGGAAATAATGTTCAGAATGCCATCAGCGAAGATATTCACCAAAATGGACGCTTCAAAATGGTTCTGGCAGATACCTTTGATACATGAGACTTCATTGCTTACCACCTTTACCACGCCATTCGGCAGATATCGTTACTTGTGCATGCCGTTTGGTATCACCTCAGCAAGTGAGGTATTCCAGAAGAACATAGACATGCTTTTCAGTGGTCTGCTATGAGAAAGTATCATGGACGATATCATAATATGGGGTGAAAACGAAGACGAGCATGACAAGAATGCAGCGAAAGTGCTGGACGGAGCTGGGAAAATAGGGCTGAAACTCAACAAGGACAAATTTCACTTCAAAGTGAAAGAGGTCAGTTATGTTGGACATTTGTAAACGATCAGGGAGTCAAACCAGACCCCGCGAAGGTCACGGCAATCTTTGAAATGCCAACTCCAGATGATGTTCCATCACTCAGACGATTTCTAGGTATGGTCACGTACCTTGCCATGATTATTCCTCATCTCAGTGAGAAAGCAGCACCCTTGAGAGACCTGCTACAGAGTGACATTCAGTGGCATTGGAATCAAACTCACCAACAAGCTCTGGATGGTATCAAGAGAGACATTTGTGAGCCCAACACACTGCAGTACTATGATGTTAACAAACCCATCACACTAACATGTGATGTCTCGAAGAATGGACTGGGTGCGGCTGTACTCCAAAGCGGTCGTCCCATTGCTTACGCGTCACGGGCTATGACGAAAACACAAGTAAACTACGCTCAGATCGAAAAAGAACTCCTGGCAATTGTGTTTGCTTGTGAGAAGTTCCATGATTATATCCTTGGAAAAGAAGTCACAGAAGAGACTGATCACCAGCCTTTGATCAGCATATGCAAGAAAGCTCTCTTTGCTGCACCGGCGTGGTTGCAAAAAATGCTTTTACGTTTGCAACAGTACGACCTGAAGTTAGTCTATAAGAAGGGTGAAGAACTTCATTTTGCGGACACATTGTCGAGAGCCTTCTTGAAAGATGATTCAAATGTACCTGACTTTGAGGAATTGGAGGAAATGAAAGTTTTACCCATGACAGATGCCAGAAGTGAAGCAACTCAAGGCTGAAACTGGTCGTGATCCGGAACTTGTATTAATTCGCCAATATGTCAAACATGGCTGGCCACAGTACAAACGAGATGTTCACCCAGAGGCATGGAAATATTTCTCGTTCAGAGATGAAATCACAGAGTGCGACAACATTCTCTTTAAAGGAGACAAAGTCATTGTCCCTACATCACTGCGGCATGACTACATGAAACATATTCATCAAGGACACCTCAATGCAGAGCGGTGTAAAGGAAGAGCAAGAGATTTCCTGTATTGGTGTAACATGAACTCTGGCATTGAATAGTGGGTAGCTGAATGTGCAGTGTGCAACAGCTGCAAATCTCAACAGCAGAAGGAGCCCCTCAAATGTCATGATATTCCTACCAGGCCCTGGCAAATACTTGCATCAGATCTATTCACTGGGAACTCAACCGAATACCTTGTGCTCGTCGATTCATACTCCGGTTGGATAGAAATGAACATTCTGAACACAACTACCTCTGCAGCTGTAATAAGAAAGCTGAAAGGGCACTTTGCTAGGTTTGGTGTGCCAGACACTCTTCTAACTGACAATGGACCCAGCTTATCCAAAGAGCAATGGACTTGCCGAAAAGAATTTTGGAAAAATCAAGTAGGGATGGCAGTGACCCATACCTTGCCATACTCAACCAGAGAAATCACCCGAGATCAAGTCCTGGGATCGCCTGCCCTCATGTAACACAGAACCAAAACTGAAACTCCTATATTGCCAAAGCTACTTTCACCGGTTATTCGAAAACCATCAATTGTCTACAAACGCCTTGTAGAACTGTGAGGGCAACAAAAACAGTATTTTGACAAGACAGCAAAACTGCTGCCTAGACTTGAACCTGGTGACCTAGTGAGAATTCTAACAAATAATGGATTTGATAGACTAGGACTAGTAAGACAACTGGATCAGTCACCCAGATCCTACATTATATCTTCGGAAGGTAAAGACCTGAGAAGGAATAGAAGACAACCCTCGTTCACACATGAGAAAACACCAGTGAAGCTGATGTCCCCACCTGAGGAATATACACTCAACACTAAAGACACTGAAACACAAGTTACAAAGACTAACATGGGACAAGAAATGACAACAAAGAGAAGTGAAGACACAAGACCTATGATGGTGCCAGAAAACAACACATACCCTAACATGACAGTTACCAGGAGTGGCAGAATCGTGAAACCAAATCACAAATACCTTGATTGACACTGAACTGTATTTATTGATCAATGCCTTCACAAGTAGAACTTGCAATTAGACCAAATATGCGAACAATGACAGATGAGCACAGACAAGGTAAAAAACTTCGCTTTCATGGTAACTGGCTGGTCACTATGAAAGAAGAGGAAACTGTGTAGCTCGGGTTATGGAATTCGTGTGGGTGGTCTAAACGTAATCCAAACAATATATTTTTCAGGAGCCTGTACTAACTGAACTTGATTGTGATAATACCGACTTGTGAGAACGTTTCTGAAACATCGTGGCAATCTCTCAGTGGATGGATATAAGTGGTATGGCAAAAATTACCGTACTGTCGACCCAGGAGGAGTCATTTCCGAGAAAGATTACATCGAAGGTGTTGACAATCTTGTTGAACATGAAGTAATAAGCACGACACTAAATGCACACGGAAATCCCTTTATTAATGTCCTTGTAGACCACAAATCTATGTGTGGTTAATGGTCGTGTTGCCACCAGGAATTTACCTGTATAAAAAACTCCTGCTCAGTGGTCGATTACATCGCAACAGCTCATGGAAACCTAACTTGATTGACTGACTTTAAAGTTATTAAAATGTCATCCCTTACTTATGAGTCAAATGTACCTGATGTTGAACAAGATCATTCTGTTCTGAAATATCCCTACGCACATCAATTTCTAGTAATGCCATCGTTGAGCCAGTGTGTGACAAGGGTGAGGGAGAATGTAAGCGTCATAACCAATGTAAAATTCAGGGCGATTTCCTTGTGAGTGAAGAGTGTTTGACTTGAGTACACAGCACGATGTTAATGCTTCCTATGGTGAGCTTTTTAATTGTATGTATGTTGAGCTTGATAAAGTATAAAGGCTTTACAAACCCAGTGGGACATCGTCTCTACCGCAGAACGCATAAGGCTAAATTGCAGGTCATATAGAAAGAAGTTGCTTAAGTCCTTTGACAAAAGTGTTTCGGTCACGTAAATGTTCTCACCAGAAACAACAGCTTGTACTAGTCCAGACTGATGCCGATTTATAGTGATAGCCCATTGAGATACCATGAGTTTAACATGAATACCCCACTCAGGCACAGTATACTGACTCCGAGCCGACCATTCCTTGTCTTTTGGTATGACACGGCCAGGGATCGAACCCCGGATCTTCTGCTCTCCGGTCGGACGCTCTACGGCTAGAACACTGAGGCGGTCTTCAATGATAGGAGTAGTGCTTTCCCATGGGAGGTTATGGAGAGTAGGGTTGTTGTTACCGATAGGAACAGAGTGTTAAGAAAATGCAAACTATTGCAAATTACATAATGGTGACATGAGTGATCAATTTGATGATAATAACCTATGGAAAGTGGTGTCTCTAATGATTTGGTTCTTGTAACGTCAATGCAAGCTTAGTAGATGTCGATATATATCAGGATGAGGTTGTATGTGCAATTAATCATGCTAAATGAGTGTGTGAGTTAATATACAAATTTAAAGTACAACAACCAGCAATATATTACAGACTATAATTTTAAAACTAGTTTTAGAACAATACAATTATCAGGTTATGACAGACGACACATAAAAACAGGCTAGAGATCACCAACAACATACCAGGGACCACGGGGACTTACAGTACCTTTGCTACATGCATGGTTCCCCAGTGGTATTTACACCATCCCTTTAGTCATTGGCGATTGTTGACAAGATTAGGCATTAAGTAAAATATACAAATATTCTGCGGTTAAAACAGTGGTAGATTAAATTCTTTGAAAGTGGTTTTACATAGTATTACCCTCTCAGGGGACAATCATTTTACACTACTTTAACCCCCTTCAAGGATATAGCCACTTACAATCTCAGTTATTGTTTCATACTACCAAATGTAAAAGTTAATTAATTTATTTACAAAATATAGCCCTCAAAATTTATCAATCAATTCGATTTCTTTTAAAAAACAAAAATTAAATGAGAACTTCTCTGATTAAAAAGACCCTTGATGGATGAAACTTTTAAATACTTATCCCTTGTGATGGAAAAATCAATGCAGTCAAGCAGGACATGCTTGACCATGATTCTTTCATCACAAGGGATACAGAACGGAGGATCCTCACCTTTCATTAAATATTCATGTGTGGCCAAACGACATCGCCGCAAAATGACTTCGTCAAATCTGGACTGACAACCCAAGTCGGTGTAACCAATAGTTGGTTTAATTTCTTGTAATATATTTATACCTGCTTGGGTGTCCTACTATTTTTTCATAAGATCTCTAAAGTAACATCTGATCACAGGTTTATTATCGCTGTATGGAATTAGAAGTGTTGTCACAGTTTTGTTGAGTGCTGCTTTAGCTGCAGCATTAGCCATTGTGTTACCAATGATTCCAACATGGCTCGGTAACCAGCACAAAACGATGTCGTATTGGCCAAAATTCAACAATTTTGATTAAAAGTGGATGTGTGCAAGATATATTTTTAATAGCTTGAAGGCAAGAAAGTGAGTCTGAAAATATAATAGATAGTTTTTGGTTTTGATTGTGTATGTATTTATTCAAAAACAGTGGCGCTGGCAACAGCATCACCATCCATGGATCCGCTTGTAAATACAGATTCGTAGGTTTTGTATGAGGATCGTAATTGATTATATTCTTGTGGATAAATTAGTTGATTTGATTCAGATTTGTTAGAATTAGTGAGAGAAAGGTCTAGTTCAGGCCTGACTAATTTCCAAGGAGGAGTAGACAGAAGCCATTATAGAAGATATTATATCTAAGTCAATATCAGCATCTGCGATGTGAAACTTGATCCAAATCCCAAGTGGCGGAACAAGCTTTGGCTTGTTGTGAAACAGTTCCTTATGAAGAGGATGAAAGACGCAATTAAAAGCTGGATTAGATGGGTTTGC